TTGTGTATTCTTCCACATAGTCATAATAATAAATGATTATTGTTTGCGTTTGAATCCCTGCAGTATAAATGGCAATAACTGAGTACAGTTACTAAGCTCTCGAGATTCTGCCATTGAGTGCATGAAGATTGTCAGATCTGTACCTAATGATTACGAACCTCGTGTAACTTTTCCTAAGAGTTCTGTTTTTGAGTTTATGCAGCGGTTTTACTAATAGTTTTCCATTTGAATTTATTGCTAGCTGATAAATTTTATTTCTAATTAATTTTAGTCATATGAGTTATTACGTTACATAGAAAGTAAGACCCTTTTTGGGGACATCTAAAGAACGGTAAAAACTTTATAAGCAATGTTAAATGAATTAAGTTGAAAGAACCTGGAAAGATACGTTGAGTCAAAATGGATCAGGTTGAGAAGGAACTTCTTAACAACAAAAGTATAAAAAAGAGCGAGAAGTTTGAAAAAAGTAGAAATTTTCCAGGATAAATCTTCTAAAATCCTTAAGACTAGGAAAGTATAAAGACATAAGTGATTTCCGGAGGAAACAAGATTTTTCTCTAGCAGAGCGCGAATATGGAAAGTTCGGTAGAAAACAGGAATTCCCCTGACACATCTTTTCAGTACCTTAAAAATAGAATATTATAAATAGCATCTTTGCAAGTACATAAATAAAAATTGGCAGGGGCAGCGACTTCAACGAAGTTGAAAGAAGACGGTGCTGAGGGAATATAATAATCTTTTAGCAGCAAGTTTGGATTTCCTGGACAATTATTTGACAGCGTATTAAAAATAAAAATATTTAAAAATAAAAATAAAAGACAATCTTTTGTAGACAAATAAAAGTTGACGACAGACTAAATCTAGGTCTTAAGACCCTCTTCATTATTGTCTAGAAAATAAAAGTTATCATTTTCTTCTAAAACTTCAGCGAGAAATAGATTGATTACTTTCAATTTGTTTTATTAAATCTGCCATAGTGTAGCATTCAGGAGTAAAATTTTATTAAAATGTCTCACAAATAAGATTATAAATAATAAATGTTTCTACCGCAGCATCGAAGAACATTTTTTATATTCTAATTACTGTCACACCGAATTCTCTGGCTTTGGAAAATACTTCTATGTTCGAAAAACTCGCCAAAATACTTTCAGTGTAGTTTACTTGAAAGGTAAAAAGTGGAACATTCTTTGGAAACATCGGTTTTACTCATTCATTGGTATCTGCCGTGAACTGGTAGCAGCCTTGCTTCGTATAGATGTTCGAAACGTTCGTCAAAGTACTTTCAAGATAGTTTACTTGAAAGGTAAATAGTACTTTTCTACTTTCAAAGTAAAATTTGCCTGGACACACTCATTTATTTCATCATCATGATATTCTTTGGAAACATCGGTTTAACGCATCTAATGATATCTGCCGTGGATTGGTCGCAGCTTTGTTTCGTACAGCTGAGCTTTGTTTCGCATAGCTGTTCGAAAAGTTCATCAGAATACTTTCAGGGTAGTTTATTTGAAAGGTAAATAGCGATTTTCTAATTTCAAAGTAAAGTTTATCCGAACACTCTTCATTTATTTCAGGCCTTGTGACATTCTTTGAAAGCATCTGTTTCACGCATCCAATGGTATTTGCCATGGACTGGTCGCTGTTTTGTTTCGGATAGCTTGAATTTCTGGAAAGCCTTAACCACGTAAAGTCATCTCGATAAGACATAATGAGCGGAATACAAAATGAAATATCTGTCGAGTAAATTGGTTATTTCATGATAGGAAATTGTTTCTAGTCAAAGAAATCCAAACTTCTTTGTCCAAAAACCATATACTTCAAAAAAGATATCATTCTGCATGGCAAAAAAAAGCTTTCCTGACCGGCCCGGATTTGATTTTTAATCAAAATTCCTCTGGTACTTTATACCCGAATTTATGTACTTTTAATATATTGCCTTGATTTCTTGGGCATATTTTAAAACTTACAATAATTTGTTCCAGTTGACAGTTTAAGAGACATAACTTCACGACCAGTGTCAAGAGAATTTAGCATTCTGCACTCTGTCTGTCGTCAAAGCCTCTCGATTTCAGAGGGAGGGGTAACGAACCAATGATCTTGCTTTTCCTCTGATATCGTTCCAGATACAATGAATCGAAGGATATAAAATACAAATGAAAAATTAAGGAGGCCTGCCTAATTCATTCTGTTGCTTTTTTCCATCGGAACAATACGCCAGAATGCTCTTGAACTCGCGAATGTTTTTTTTTTCGTACAGTGTTGTCATGGCTCACTTTGAAATCGTTGTGTTTGTTAATCAAAAATTCGTTGAAGTGTTACAAAATATGAAATCGATACTAAAACAAATTTCAAATTCAAATTGGGACTTCCACATGCCCATATTCTATGAAAAATTATGTTATTCAAATTTGGATGGCTCTAGGTACCGCTGTTTTATCATAAGGCGAGAAACATACATACATTTATGCAGATTCTTCATTATTTAATCTCTTTAAATATAGTACAAGGCGATAATATTGGATGGCAGTAATTTGAAAAGTTATTTGCCGTTTATAGTTTTCAATGCAAAATGCCAAAACGAAATTAATAGTCCAGGGCAAATTGCCCCTTTGGACTAATAAATAAATGTATAACAACATGTAAAATCTGATGTAGTAATTTTGATAATAATTATTATGGCTATAATTTATTAAATGTTAAAAATAATTTAGAAACAAATGAAAAATTTTATTTGAGCTTCGTTTTTGAAAATGCTTTAGAGTTCTATCTGTTCTGCTGAAAGGTGTTAATTAACATTATAGCCATTAAGATGCCGTATATACATTTAAAATATTTATCTTAGCACAGCTAAGGGAGTATATATGAATGCATCTCAATAAACACGTAAAATAATATTGACAGGGTTAAATTCGTTTGAAAATGTAGTCGCAGAATTATTTTTTCTATATTTAGATAGCTTAATTGACGGTAGGTTTTCTAAAGCTAGCGTTGTTAAATAAATCATACCTGCCAACCTACGACACTCAAAAATCAGGAGATTTATTTTTAAAAAATCAAGGGAATTTTTCAATAAAAAAATGACCTTTTTAAATAATAAAAATTCGTAGAAAGAAAAATTTACTTTTTAATGATATATTAACTTTAAATAGTAACTAATTAATATCTGACAATAAACACGTTTAAAAACTTTTTATAGTTTTTAACTTTAAACATTTTCTGTTCTTGCACTTGATTATTTACTGCCGGGAAATACTTTTCGAAAAAATCTGCAGCATGATTCGATGCATTCAGAGGCAGGTTGGGCTCCAGTAAAAAGGCAGAAAACAGGCATGCTATAATTAGGTATATATATATATATTAATAACTTTTTGTCCTTTGTTTCCAAAGAAAATTTTAATTTTTTTTTTTTCAGTACAACTCACGTACCAGTTCCAATACAACCACGTTTCCAGTACACAAATCTTTGTGTACGCACATGTTTAATCGGTTTTTCCACCGTGCGAAATCCAAGTATTGCGATGGCAAACGATGCAGATTGCAATATCACATTTCCTTGACGAAATATTAGAAGGAAAGTCGTCTGTGTTCGATTTTTGAAAAGTACGTGAGCATTTTTCCTTTTTTCCCAGACACAACTAGCGCAAAAGATCGCAGTTTCTTAAACTGTTTCACGGAAGTACGTGTAACTTAAAAACCTCAATCACATTATGCTTTGGAGACGCGGGACTTGACGTCGAAAGGGACGATTCTCAGAACCCGCACAATTCCAGGAAACCTACGCAGCTAGGTTACCATTTTCAATTACTACATACACTTGAACGCCACACACTAATCGATTATCGCTCAGATTGGGATCACGTGATGCTTCAGAAGTAGAACTTTCGTTTGATTGGTTGTCTCTACCCGTAACCGAGGTCCAACCGAGACATTTTCAGTGAACTTTGAATAAATCCCGCGTAGCCGCAACATCGTTTCCATAGCTAGGCGGGACTTCGCTTCAGACGGAGCTTTTTTTTCTAGGAATCCTCCCGTTTAAACCAGTGCTACCACTGGCGAGATGAACGAGATAAACCACCGATATCTAGCTTTGTGCTCATTGACCAGATGAGCTAGATGAATGTATGCCAGATGACCTGCAAGACGCTTGATTCTCATTGGCGACGTTTTCGGACTCTCATACACAAAGCAGAAACGCGCCATATCTCAGGGATGAAACGACTTCGGTCATACTAATTCAGAAGTCAAACAACAAAAACATTGTTGCCCAACATTATTGATCCGAAAATCACACTTTCAATTTTTCTGCTGCCAAAATTATTCAAAAAAAAAACATCTTCCATTGGAGAACTGGATTTTCTAGAGGCGTTTCCCATTCAAAAAAATCTTTCTGTTCTAGTTAACGATCCTAATTCCAATCCATCTTTGCTTTCGGCCTTTAAAGAAATTGTGTTTTAGTTCTGCTTTCACCAACAGATGTCACCAGTTGCTTATTCTTGTCCAGGCTTTCTTATCTTGTGTAATAATTATATCCTATCTCGTTGATTTGCGTTTTTGCAGCTGAGGATGGTGGTTCGGTAAAACCATCGAAACTAGTCCTGTGAAAATTTGAAAATATAACGCTGATTTTTGTTCTTTGACTTCTGAATTAGTATTTGTTCGACGTGTTATTGTGTCTTGACTTCGGTCATTTTTATATGCGTCTAGAAAAAAAACAAGCGCTTTCTGACGCCAAAAATCACTCGGACAAATTAACGAAGGCAAACTACACAAAAATCGTGAGAAACTTTAAGAATAAAAGAAAGTCGGGGGAAAATATGTTAAAAATCGGGTTGGCGGGAGTATGGTCAGAAATCAGGATGGTTGGAAATTTTCATTTTGAGATTCTGTCAATGCTGACGTTCCTCTTTTCCCAAGCTCTTCTGTTCTATTCTTCTTTTACTTTTTCACCTTTGCTTATCTCCGCTGTTTCTGTCTGTGTGTCTATTTTCGCGGGCGCATAGGCTGTGTTCGCCAGCTGGATACCAGAGATCACTGAGCTGATCGGACGCCCGTCCAAATACGGAGGAGTCCTCAGAAAAGAAAGAGGCAAGAGGTAAAAATATATCTTCCCTCAAGCCCTACAAACCTCTCAGTCCCCTCAACTAATCAATCCACCGGATGGAGGTTCCCCGATCTGTGAAAGCAAAATGGAAGTTTGCCTAACGGAACTGCCCAGTTCTTTCACATTTGAATCGATGGTTAAAATAAGGCTAATTAATCACGTGTATTTGAGGAATCATTCTTTTAAATGTAACCTTTAATAATACAGTAGAACTCCAATTATCCGAAACAGCTGGGACCTGACCCTATTCAGATAATCAAAAATTCGGAAAATTGGATTTTTTCCGAAGAAAGAGTCTAGGTGCACTGTGATTAATTACTGTATGTACCTCATGTTGAAAATGAGAGAAAAAACTAATTTAAAGAAAAATTCCTTGTACGGAATATTAAATTATACGCATTTTTTCTTGCATTTCATTTAAACTTATTGGACTCAATTAAATCTACTTCGCCGACAGCGTATAAACCACAATAGAATAAATGCATTTTTTAAAATGCATTCTATTTGTTTACCATAGCGACACTGATCGCTAGGTTCACTTAACAATACTGTATTTCGTTCATATTATAACTCAGAATGCACAATTATCGAATCATTTGAAGAATTATCGAATCGTTGCCACATTTTCTATTCAAATACTGAAATAAAGCTAGAACGATGTATAAAAGAAATTAAGCAAACAAACCAAAAAAGAAATAGTTTCTCACAGACGATTGAGTATTTCTCATTCAATTAATTCAGTTCTCACTTCGCGACAAGGCAAAAATACATAAAAATTCAAAATATCTGTATTAAAAATTACGAAGTAAATCTTAAAAACATATTTCCTCGAAAAAATTCCCGAAAGGATTAAGAACGATTTAATTCGCAATAATAAATGCAGGCGTTATTTTTGTTGTTGCAAAGCTAAGTTTCTCTAGACTGGCAACAAATCCACTAGTCTGCTGTTTCAAATGTAAACAACCAATGGCCGCCGTCAAAGAAAAGGTTTAGCGGCACTTAAACAACATTAAAATTGTTGATAATTCTAAAAATATTGCACACAGATTTACTAAAGGTATAAAAACCTTAACCGGAAGATAAAAACAACATAATTCAACCTTTTTTAAATCAAAAAATGTACAACTTACAAACATATAAGAGTAAAGAAAGAAACTGAGAGATCACTGAGCCGGGTACAGAGTGGATATATATATATATATATATATATATATATTATATATACGTATGGTGCGGCCGATTGCAACCAAAATACGAGGTACACATCTACATATTATAGCAGTCCTATATAGAAATTTCAAAGTTCTGAGGCTACTCGTTTTTGAGTTATGCGAGATACGTACGTACGTACATACGTACATACATTTGTACAGACGCCACGAAAAATTCTGTTCCGAATTCCCTTTTAAAAAAGCAGTTTTGTAATTTTTTTTGGAGGAAAAGAGTATTTTATTCTGTCCTTACGTACAGATATCACACAAAAACATCGTTAAATTGCATTCGATAGATGTCAAAATGGATATTTTTGTTGAAATATGCTGCCTGAAACATTTCGCGATTACGAAACTTTCTTTTTTACTTCGTACAAGGAGGTAAAAAAGGGATTTAAGTAATTAAAGTGAAAAGGCAAAACTTTTACGTACATGTTGGATAGGGCGCTTACAAGTGCGTGTACAGTACTTATAAGTGCTGAAAATTATTGCTTGTTGAATATCTCATTCAAACTAAGCTGTTTGACAGACACCGTGGCTGCACTTAAAATTCTTAGCTAGCCGTTACTTGCTTTTAAGCAGGTTTTCCTAAACAATGGGTCGCGGGACCTGCAGCAGGGGGTCGCCAAAAATTTTAAGAGTTTTGATATTTCTTTAATTTATTGTAATAATTTTATTATTACCAGATATTTTTACACAATTTATGTGAAAATAGACAATACAGACAGAGAAAAAAACGAAAACATTTCGACGCATTCTTTTTATAATAGAAATGTTCATTTTACTTGCTTTTGCACGTGACGCTGTCATTTCGTCTGTTACTTATTTAAAATTTTCACATTGTTCTACGTCTTAAAATTAGAAATTAAAGTTAATGACCTGAAACTGCAATGGTATATTACAGTACAAGTGAAAAAATGGACACTTTCACTCATGCGTGTGTCGGATTTGCGCAATACTTATGAGAGCCCCACAAAATTTTTGTAAATATTATGGGGGTCCTGGGGATCGCGAAAAATTCTCAGTGATAAAAAGATGACTGAAAACGTTTAAGAAACCCTGCTTTAAAGGATGAACAACCAAGCTTCTGATCTAAGATCTTGGCTTTTTCACAAAGAGTGGGACCCGAAATTGGGTTTCTCATAGAACTTTGCTCAAAAACCACTTGAAAACAACATCTTCTAAATTTTTGCTGGTTGCTGAATTGATTTGCTTGAAGAACTTCCATCTTCGTTTTCAAGCACTGACACGATATTGAAAAGTGTAGGTTTGTTCCTTTTAATGTCTGAAATCTTTGATTGTCCAATACAACATTTCTGTCTTAATTTTTTTCCTAAACTCTGAAAGCGATTCGGAAATCAAGGATTCGGATAGTCGGAGTTCGGATAATTGGAGTTAAACTGTAATTCAAAATATAACTTACCAAGTAGTTATGCTTTTCGGTATATTTGCTGATATATGTTAGAATGTACACTTTTGGCTCTGTCTCAAACCTACATTTACTCACTCAGAGTACATGAAAGTAAATTTATGGAACAGTGTTTTTGTTATCCCAAGCTGTGAAATCAGTATCTTAAAATTATATTAACAATTTGGGGTAAACTGCACAAAAAACGTTCTATATATCTCCGGTTCCACTGAGCCGATTGACGAAATTCAAATTGAGTTTTTCATATCTATAAAGCGCGACTTAGGATATATATTAGAGTTATATATAGCATTATTCTAATATAAGTATTTTGATATAAAATCGGACTTTTTCTAAAATGACATGCCAATTTTTTCCATATTTCGAGTCTACGACTCAAATTATGCCTAACTATTAACTTTTGTAAAATGTGGTGCGAAATTTAGAAAGAAATTTAAACATTTATCTTGGCGTATTCGTTTTTCAATTTGAGCCAAGAATAATTCACTTGGCGAACTTCTTAATTTATAGCAACCTATTCTCCTTTCCCTTTTTTTCATTGTACACGAGCGGAAAAAAGTCATCGCTCATTATTTCAAATAATTTTAACAAAGTGCATAAACCACATTTGGCGTTATAATCGCTTCTAACAAATATGCCACATTTAAGAACGCGCCAGTATGTTAATTCACGTATATTCTAAGAAATTTTGTATAAAAAACTCTAATTTTTTTTGTAGGTATGCTTAGAAATACATCTACTTTAAGATGATGGCAAAAATTTTATAGATTATAATTCAAAATGGTTTTTCGAAGATTTTATAAAAATTGCTTAAAAATACAAATTTTAAAAATGAATCATAAAAAATGGGTGAATTTTATTTGAAATGAATATAAATTTCAAATTCTGGTAAAAGGAAACCTAATAAGTTTCATTAAAAAGAGATATTAGTAATTACTCGTATATATCAAATTCAATTAACATCGAGGAACTAAAATTTTGAGAGCTCATTTTTTAAAAACTACTCATGCGAATTTGGCAATTTAGCATAATTTGAGTCGTAGAATCGAAATATGGAAAACCATTGGCATGTTATTTCAGAAAATATCCGATTTCGTGTCAAAATACCTATACTAAACCAAGGCTATCTATATAAATCTAATAGATATCCTAAGTCGCGCTTTCGAGACATGACAAACGCAAGTTGAATTCCGTGAATCAACCCAGTAGAACGGAAGATATAGAACTGTCCCTTTTTTCTTTCTTTCTTTCTTTTTTTTCCCTGCAGTGTACATTTTTGGTGTTCAACAAACAATTCTTGAAACAAATAAATACATTCAATTTAAAGGAAATAAATCCAAAACTTGGAGTTTAATAGAATATCTAGTAAACAGTTATTTTAGTTATCTTAACACATTTTCCTCTGAAAAAAAAAAAAAAAATTGTTATTTTGATCGAAATACCTAAGCCGAATATTTCGTGAAATCTGATATCTGTTTCTCATAAACATTATGCTCAGCAATTCAATATGAGAGCTTTAATAATTCGATAACAGTTTTTGTTGGTTTGTTTGTTTTTTGAAAAATTGTATCGAACATTAAATGCTTCGGAATTAAGTTTTCAGCACAAAATATATTTTCGAATTTAAACTGTTACGAGATATTTTAAGTTTTTCATTACATGGAAATTTTTTTCCAGTGCTTCAATTTTAAATAAGATACAAAGTATTTATTCTGTTTGCAGAAATTTTATTTTGCGGCGGACCACACAGAGATGAGAAAATCGTGCATATAGTCGCCTCAAATCACTGTTTTCAAGCTTTTATGATGTGCCCGACAAGATGGTCTGACATCGCGGACGCAATGATTCGCTCCAGTTGACAGTGCAAGAGACATAACTTCACGACCAGTGTCAAGAGATTTTAGCGTTCTGCACTGTGTCTGTTGTCAAAGCCTCTCGATTTCAGAAGGGCTGACCAACCAATGATCTTGTTTGACGGATCAATGATGTTGTTCAGAAGGGTTGATGACCAATGAACCAATGATCTTGGGCTGACGAATCAATGACGAACCAATGATCTTGTTTGAACCAATGATTTTGTTGAACCAATAATCTCTGATATCGGTCCAGATATAACGAATCACAGGATATAAAATATAAAAAAAATTAGGAAGACGTGGCTAATCCAGTCTGCCGGTTTTTTCCATTGGAACAACACGCCAAAATGTTCTTGAACTCTCGCCTAGATGCTATCCATGAATTATATATATGTAAAGAAACTAAAAACTCAGTGACGTAACAGCCCTAACGGGCCAAGGCCTTCAGTGCCCGAAAATCTGCTTTCTTGGCCTTGCTCCCCAGGATGCGTAAGC